TATGAAGATTTTATTAAAAGGTTTAATGCTACGCCTTTTAGGAAAAGAGCAAGCTCTCAAAATACCGCGACGGATGACTCCTCACCAACATCATGATCATCTACTACAGAAGACGTCTACTTTGAACAAAGACCTCTCCCGTTAGAGGGTTTTCCATAATCATTGTGCTTGGTAGATAACTTGGGGATTAAGTTAATTCACTAAAAATTTAAAGATAGTCTGCTACTCGTTGGCCGAGTGGTCGCAAGTCTGACTGCTGGGCAAGGGGTCTCGGACTCGGTTCCCGGGCCTGGCTGGGTTTTAAAAATTCTAAGTAGTAGCACAGAGTCCGGAACTGTGCCCGGTATATGGCAATCGCCTCACCCCCTATTGCATGAGTTTCTTAACATGAATAGTGTAAAGCGGGTGTTACATTGTAGAGTGGCATTAAGTGTCGAAACAAAGAAATATTCACCTCTGCCTACCCCTTCGAGGATAAAAGGCGTGATGTTATCTCTGTCTGTTCGTCCCTTGAGTTGGTCGCAGTCACACTTTAAGGAAATACCAAATGCAATTTCTGTAATATGCCAATATGGCCGTAGATGTAAGTGGGTCACAATATATGCCGTTTTAAATACAATTTTATTACTTTACAATCTTTGCCTTGCATTAATGGTTTTTGCACAATTTTCCTCAATCAAACTGCGTGACCTCTACAGGTCTACACTCACGCACTATCGTTTTATAGACAATTTTCGCAAGCACAAGAAATCATATAACCATATTTTCAACTTGAGTTTATAATCTCTTTCAACAAAATAACTTTTAGTATACTAAACGAGTAAGAAGATTAAATCAGTCCTCGATGAAGGAGAATCAACTAAAAGAAACTTTAAAATTAACTTCATTCGTTTACAAATTATGATTAAAGTATTATGAAAATAAATATTTGATATTAAGTACTTTGATACTAGGTAAACTAACGACCACATTTTTTTTAAAAATGTTTTACATAAAAACCGCGTCTATGAACAATGTTTTTGTTTTATAAAAATACCGCTATCAAATCGGTTCATTCATTCAAGAGCTACGGTGGTACCATCACACAGACTATTATTAAGGGATGAGCCGCTAAACAAGCAAACGGATTACCTGATGGTAAGCACCAGAGACTTTATAAGTGCGTTACTGGCCTTTTGGGGATTAGGAATTTAAGGTTTGTTAGATGTGGGATTCGGGTATTGGGGAGATTGGGAAGGGGGTAATTGAACCTCCGGTAACCTCACTCACGCAACGAAACACAAGCGTTAATTCACGGCGGTTTTCTGTGAGACCGTGGTATCATTCCGGTTGAGCCGGCCCATTCGTGCCGAAGTATAGCTCTCCCACACTTAGTTATAGACAAACAGTCAGGGAAGACATAACATCCCCTATTTGCCGTCACTTTTAATAAATAGTGGGCAACAAAGGATTATTTCAAGATTGTATCATCTAACACGTAAAAAATAGAAAATATCCAAGGTTATCACTAAAATAAGTGTTACAGTAACGCCATAACCGCATTATTATGGAAACCTTGAAAGAAACGTAAAACATTTATATGTATTTGTAGATTATTTTAATGTGTAGGTATATTATGTATTTAGGTACCATATATCTAGGTAGGCCCAATGCCAACATAGTCTACATAAAACTAGTTTTTAAATTGTCAAGGGTATAAACAGTTCTATGTACATAAATATACATAGGTACAACTTACTGTATTTTCAATATTTACATAACTTTCTGTTAATCTAACTGCCGAATATTCTATGGAGAAAGATGCACATAGTAATCATCTACCAATGTATACTATACTAGCTACTTCCGCGCGGTTTCACACGCTCTGCTCAGCTCCTGTTGGTCGTAGCGTGATGTTTTATAGCCTATAGCCATCCTCGATAAATGCGGTATCCGACACAAAAATAATTATTCAAATAAGACTTGTAGTTACGGAGATTAGCGCGTTCAAACAAACAAACAAAAAAACAAACTCTTCCGCTTTATGTAATACCTAGTATAAGAGTATAAGATAATAGTATAAGATATATGAATTTCCATTTGTTCGTCTCGCTAAAACTCGGGAACGAACCGATTTGACTAATTTCGGTCTTGAATCAATTATGGAAGCCCAGGGAAGGTTTAAAAGGTGAAAAAAAAATTTGTAAGCAGTACAATGTCTGCCGGGTTAGCTAGTACTCAATACTTGGCCGAGTGGTCGTAAGTGCGACGGCACGGGGTCTCGGGTTCGATTCCCGGGTCTGGCAAAGTATTACTGGGTTTTTTAAAAATTCTCAGTAGAAGCACGGAGTCTGCAATTATGCCCGGTATATGGCAATAGGGTTACCCCCTATTACATGGGATTCATAACATAAATAGTGGAAAGTGGGAGTTACATTCTACAATGTGGTATAATGTGCACCTCTGCCTACCCCTTCGGGGCTAAAAGGCGTGATGTTATGTTAGTAAACATCGGTTTGATCTTTAACGTTTTCAGTATCTCACATTCATGGCGATCCGTAAAATGGTGGGTTGATGCGAACAGATGAACTTACCCTAATGAGAGGAGAGCCCATTGCCATACACTGAACACATATCCAAATCATGTACTATTAATAATAATAGATACTCGTTAAATATTAACTTGACCTGAAAAACCAAAATCTCTTACTCGACAGTCTCATTTACTATAGAACCATCCGACCAACAAGGAGGCAGGAGGCAATCAAAAACTCAAACTCAAAGTCTTTATTTGTATGTTAAGGTATAGGTCTTATGAAATAACAGGCACAGCTTAACGGCCTTTTTTTTCGATCTAAAATTATTGCAATACTTTTGTTTAGCAAATAAATATTTGCTTCTAAAGATACTTACTGTAAACACTTTATTTATCCTTACATTAATTACAAAATACGAATGTTTGTTTGTTTGTCTCTCCACATTACAAGAGCGTATCAAAGTATACAATGATATTTATGTTTGAAAATAGTCAGAGGTCTGTAGGCTAACAGAGACTAGTCTCTTTTATTTACGTACGCAGACGAAGTTGCGGGTAAAATTAGGATTTTACAATATAATCATGTTAATCATGATACAATATAATCATGTTAATCAAAGATAGCGTTATCGACGGCTTTTTTACAACAACTGTTATAGGCAATTGAGGTAGCTAGCCTAGTACAAACTCCAAGGCTCGAATCTAGTTCATAGACAATATTATCGTTTATTTAGGTTAGTAGAGAAAACGATAGTAATTATGCTATTTTTGATAAAACATTTATCAGGGTAAGAATCATCATAACATCATAACATCACAACTTTTACCCTCGAAGGCGTAGGTGCACATTATACCACTGTAGAATGTAACTCCCGCTTTCCACTATTTATGTTATGAATCCCATGTAATAGGGGGTAAATCTATTGCCATATACCGGATACAATTCCAGACTCCGGGCTACTACTGAGATTTTTTTTTAAAACCCCGTAACCGCCACTGACTCTCGACACTTTGCGTGAAAACACAGAACAATGAGTCCCGCGCCGGAGCCGTGACGCACGCGCTTTGTATTTGTGCCGCGAAATATTTGAGTTTTGTATTATTGTGCAACCTTATTTATATCTAAAGTTAAAGTTTAATCCAATATATACAGTTTTACAGTCATTCGTGTGTCGAACTTTATTTTCACGCCCCTGAGAACCCACTAAGACATTTCAAGTTATTAAAAAGGTAAATATTTGAATAAAAAATAATCTCAATTGACTGTAAACTTCTATTCAAGTTCAGTAATAAATAAACTAAGTTTATACAAAACTGCCTCACTAAAACTGATGTAAAAGTTTTACGTAACCAAACTGGATTGTATGAAGCACATTAATCATTCGATCCTTTGACCGAAACATAATTAAGCACCGATTATTGAAGTAAAAGTTATCTGCGAAATAAAACCGGTTACTCATGTTTATATGGAAAAGAAATCAACTTGCCGAAATTATTCACTTGCAAAAAACAGTAACATCAAATTATAACATAACATATCATCACGCCTTTTATCCCCGAAGGGGTAGGCAGAGGCATTACGGCTCGTAATGTCACTGTACCTACAATGTAACCACTTTTCACTATTTATGAAAGAAGTCCCATATAATAGGGGGTGACCCTATTGCCATATACTGGGTACATTTCCAGACACCGTGCTACTACTGAGATTTTTTAAAATACCCGGTGATATCACATCATCAAAATATAATTTGGTTTAACATCATGCCCGTTTGATCATGGCGAATGATCTTTGTTGTGTTATATATTTTTGTGCAAAATAAAGTGTAGTCAGCACAGTTATTTACTAGGTAATAAAATAAAGATGAACTTAGTACAGAGACAATAGCTATGTATACCTCTATAATAAATAGTATAATTTTTAACCAAGATGTAACTGTCTTCTGTACCCATTGGTCACTAGCCAAACGATGGTTACTATATGTGTACTGAATCAATATTCGGTTCCTTACCTGCATTATATGTAGGTACGTAGGTAACTAAAGTATAGATTAAATATGCTTTATTGATACTATCCACGAATCTAAACTATGCTGTCATGGTCTGTAGTTACAGTTTGTAATAATATTACGAAAAGATAAATAATGTCATCTAATCTAGGTATAAAATGCATATAAAACAATTCCATGTCATTCAGCCAGAGCCCTCCTTTCTTATAATTACTAAGCCTTACATAAACTGACAATCGCAATATAAGAAATTACTAATCCATCTTACAATAACACAAAAAATGTCTAAACTAAACGCTAACCAATAAAATATAATCTCTAAACAATAGTTATTGAGATAAACTTTATCAATAGGTACAATATAATCATTGTGATTTCACCTTCCCAACAGACGAATACACACATCAAGGCTAGAAGCGGCGGCCGGCAGACGTCTTGAAAAACCAGTGCTCAAGTTTAAAAAAACAGTGATAAAAATGGTGGTCAAAATAGCAACTCAAGTGGCAAACAGTGCAAAAAAGGAAGACAGTTTAGCGAATTTATTGGGGGATTTCGGAAAATGGCAGCTTATAGTTTTCGCTTCAGTGTCTCTAGTGAAACTGAGTTCAGGATGGGTGCAAATGGCAATACTTTTCCTGACCCCGAACCTTACATTCCGATGTGCGGATTTGGCAAATTACACCGAGGAGATAATGAACAATACTTGTTATAAAGGATGTGGTAAATATGAATATGACACAAGTCCCTTTGACAACACTATTGTATCTGAATGGGACCTCATCTGTGAGCGGCGATGGCTCGCCAGCTTCAACCAGACGGTGTTACAAGTCGGTATCCTGATTGGCAGTACCATATTTGGATTTTTGTCTGACAGGTAAGTCAAACCTGCCTAATTTTAAAAGCAACTTTCACCATAGCATTTTCTTTTTGTTCAAAAATTAATCATTGATCATTTTTATGTTATGGTGTTTTATGACCTTTCTACATACCCTGCCTCACGATAACAATGAGGAAAAAGTTTTTGATGCCTTAAGGTAACATTTTATTATGATTATTTTTATTTAAAGTGTAATATTTTAGTTATTCATAATACTAATATTAGTGTAAATATAGTTTAATCATAGAGATGTATTTATAACTGTAGTATTATATTTATTTGCACGTAGTTATGTGTTATTCCACTTTTTTCCCTACCATTGGTCCTAAATCACGAGAATAGTTTAAAAATAAAATTTCTGAATTGAATGGTGTTTGAGTATTAGCCAACTATAAAACAGAGAGTAGGTTAGGTTAGAGATGTTGCAAAACAAAAATCTAGCGTTCACTTTTGATTTCAAAAATACTCGTAGATACGTACGTACGATTATTTTCGAAATCGAAAAGCGAATACGAAATAGATTCTGATTGGGTATTAAAGATTCTCATAACATAATTAAGCAATAACTGCGCAGTTGGCGCGGTTGCTGGGCTACCGGCGGCCGTGTAGTGTGTAGCGGGTTCGATTCCCGCACGGACCAACTCTTTTTGTGATCCACAAATTGTTGTTTCAGGTCTGAGTGTGACGTGTATTTAAATTTGTATGTAAACGCACCCACGATAGAGGAGAAAATCCAAGTGGTTAAAAAAAAGGTATATGCAAATGCAATCTGCTTTCTACTGAACTACTGAATACTGGCGTGCTTTAAGTCAAAGTCAAAGTCAAAATCATTTATTTCAATTAGACCAGGGTGGCAGTTTTGAACGTCAACAACAAAAATTTAGAAGTGAAGCTAGTTGCTCATTCCAAGGCGTAGATTCCTATGGAGAAGAACGAGCAAGAAACTCCACAGGTTACACTTTTTCAATCAGGTTTACACTTTGCTTGTATCACTGGAAATTCAAATTTCATGAGAGTTAAAAAAAGTATATTTATGTATAAGGATCGTAGTAGGTAGCGCCCTATATTTTCGACTACCTCAATCAGATAAAACCGTCAAGTTTCTTTATAATAATACAACATCATCAATCATCAACGGCCCAACATAGTCTGCTTAACTACCAATGAGTGCATTACACTCAGGGCCCGTGCCCGGGCCGCCCATCCTTAGGGGCCCGAAGTACCGAAAATTTCTACAACTGACATGGCAACTTGTAGCGGATTTGCCCGCACGGAGCAAATGTTTGTGTGAATTGTGTGCTCCATAAATTGTTGTTCCGGGTCTTTTTTTATAATATTACAGATTAATTCTCCACGGACTCTAGTTCCGTGCCCTTGTCATACAATTCTTGTTCCGGGTCTGGATGTCATGTGTATGTTTGTAAATGCATTCACGATATAGGAAAACAACGTAGCATGCGACAACGTTAAAAGAAAGAAAAGAACATTCTAAAAGGGCCCCGAATTATTGTTCTTTTCTTGCACCCAAGCGCCCCAGCGTAGTCTAACACGGCCCTGGATGTCTCGAATATCTCAGTACTAACCATGTTTAAAAAAATTGTCAAAGGTCAACATGTCTTTTTATCCTTTTAAAAATACAATGTCGACTACACACACACACTACACTTTCTTCGATAATAAATTTATCAAAATCTACAAATCTGACAGAAATACGATTTTTGAAAGGCTGATAGCAGTCAATAGCTTACTGAAATCACGACAGTACAATGATGCCAAGGGTAACCTGCCGAATGTCCTACGCTTTCATGCCTGACCCTCTCAATAACTATAATCTTATCGTATCTGATTTTATTTGGTGCATCCGTTTTGTATTTCGTAGATGGATATTATTGTTTATAATTTTTAATCGTAAACAAACGGCAGTTTAATATTAAAACTTGCGAAAGCAGACATTTATTATTAGGTTCATTGACATTTGATTAACGATGAACTTAATGCAATTGAAGTCTTAGTCAGATGTCATCACTTACTTTTTGACTTTGACACACAAACTTTTTTTTAAGGGGGGAAAATCATTGAATGACTGCTCCCGCGTTAGTGTCAGACTCTTACTGACTAAAAACCACCCCGTTCCTTCTCCTGCACGTCAAGCCGGAGCCCCGGTAACCCGTTAGGTTCTCCGTGACTCCGAATCAGCCCTGTTGGGCTCCATCCGTGGTGGTCTGATGGCTCTTTGAGTACGCTCGGGTCTATGACACACATACTAGGAATATAATTATGATTGAAATAATAATTTATTAAGTCATTAAATCGAATGTTTCTCGCAATCCAACAGATCATTCGTAACATTCATATTATTAAAAACTAATAACCTTAATGCAACATAATAATATATTGACATGAATAGGTTCTGGTCCGTAACGTACCACGTGTTTTTTTATGGTATAAGCCGGTAAACGAGCAGATGGATCACATGATGGTAAGCAATCGTCATCGCCCATGGACAACTGAAACACCGAGGCGTTTCAAGTGCGTCACCAGCCTTTTGGGAATTGGGAATTTGAGGTTTGTGGAGGATTCGGGATTTAAACTGTCAGACACCGCAAGGACACCGGTGACCGCAACCTATTGTTCTTTAATTGTGTCTATAATGACGGTACTCAAAGAGTTAATGGATTTAATTCGTTTAATGGATTTCCACCCGGAACTACTCTTTATGTGATTAAATGATCATCATTGCAGTAATTTCACATTAAAGGAAATGCAACATCTGTTATTTATATTTGAGGAAAAAAATCATCCAATGACTTCTCCCGCCTGGGTGAGGTGAGAGGGAGTGTCAGACTCTTACTGACTAATTATCACCCCGTTCCTAACTCCTACTCTTTGAGCTGAAGTCCTGGCAAACCGTTAAGTCTTCCACGTCTTCGATGCAACAACGCTTGAGTTGTGTTTCGTCCTACGAATAAAGTTACCAAAGGTCGACCTACGACACGCTTGTAACTCTTCGAGTGTTGTGCGTGTCCATTGACGGCGCTGATCGTGTGATCCGTCTACTATTCTGCTATGCTATGCTATAAAATAAAAGTAACATATTTTATGTTACTTTTATCGCCGAAGGGGTAGGCAGAGGTGCACATTAAGAAACTGTATCTACAAAGTTACACCCACTTTTCACTATTTATGTTTTGAGTCCCATGTAATAGGGGGTGAGCCTATTGCCATATACCGGGCACAATTCCCGACTCCGTGCTACTAATGAGAATTTTTTTGTGAACCCCGTTATATTTTGCCCGACCCGGGAATCGAACCCGAGACCCCTTGCCTGGCAGTCGCACTTGCGACCACTCAGCCAACGAGGCAGTTCTGCACGATTACTGCGCGTTACTACTGTACTAAATCAATGGCTACATCACGACTTCGATTTTTGAATTAGAAAAAAACAATGATAATGTACATTGTTAATTTTTTTTTTGAAAAGCAAACTTTGATGCTGTAATATCCTGTTATTTTTTAATGCATGTCGTGGCATCCCTTAATTAAGGTTACACTATACAGTGATAAATTATGTTAAAAACCTATCTGTATTTTGGTGTATGCTTTGTTGGTTGCCCTTAAATAAATAAATAAATAATCGTATTAGATGTGGATTAACAATGAATTATTGCCGTATTTATACTCTGTTTTTCCAGACAATAGATGTTATTTTCCTATCTCTGTGCCACATTCTAAATAGGTAACAAATCCACATATTTTCACAAAAATTCTCATTTATAATAAACTAGCTTCTGCCAGCGGCTCCGCCTGCAGTCCTATGGTATAAAAAGTAGTCAATGTGCTATTCCAGATTATATAATCTACCCTTGATCCATATTTCATTTCTATTTCTCCAGCCATTTTGACGTAAAGACGGAACAAACATACACACTTTTGCATTTATAATATTGCTAGCGATCGCACCGGTGCAATATGCTTGTATTATACATATAAACCTCCCTTAAGAATTAGTCTATCTATTAAAAAAACCACATCAAAATCCGTTGCGTAGTTTAAAAAATCTAGGGACATAGCATACACAGTGACAGACAGACGGCGGGTAGCGACTTTGTTTTATACTATGTAGTAATGAAGTAGAATTGGAACTACAATTAGGTACTTAAAATAGTTTTTGTCCAGGTACAATTACACTAGTCTTTATGAAATACACACGGCCACTCATCAATCTATACAAAACCAGTTTATCCTGATGTCGCGTTGCATCATGTTTCCGCACATTTAACGTTCAGTTTATACTGGTTATGTAAAGCTCGATGTGTAGCCGTGTGTCCACACGTGAAGTTAGCCTAAACAATAGTACTCACAATATGGTACCGTTAGACGCAAGATATTTGCATAATAGTGTAATTGTTCAGCGTCTCTAAACTTAATGTTATATTCTTCGTTTCAGCAGTATTGCGCAGTATGTACCTCTATATGAAGTTTATGTAACGTAATATTACATTACACGTTCGAAGCGAAAGAAACCAACTTCAATTACGTACAAAAACTTATTGAGAAAATAAAACTAAAAACCTTATTAAAGCCGAACACTCAAACGTAATCTAATAAAAACGTACATATGTACGTTACCATAGCCAATAGTGAATACCTATTTTTTTGAAATGTCAAAAGTTACGCTTTACACGGGGTGATTTGTTATTAGACATTTTTATCGAACAAAGAGATAGGCGGAAATGAACAGTTATGAAAATGAAATGATCTATAAAATATTTTATAAAATATTTTACTTTTAGAGTTAAATCCAAAACTGAAAAAACAAAAAGTAACGCGATTGACCTAATTTTCTTTTTAAAATTATCTTACTTTATTAGTTTATTCAGTAATTCTAATCATCAAATATAAAATAATAATATTATTTTTAGACACAGTGATCCCATATTCATAAAATGTAGACAAGACTTGGTTACAAAAAGATACGGTTCAAAATATTTTAAATCATTTCAACAAATTAAGATACGTTGGTATACTGCGTTACACAAATGACAACCGTGACATCATAATAGCAATACAAATAATTTCAATTATGAATGCGTAAAGCACTAATTGAACAATGGAAAAAGAAACATTAAAATGAACTAAACAACAGAACAAAAAAGTCGTGGTGGCCCGGAGGTTTAAGACGCCCACTTCTCATGCATGAGGGTGCGGGTTCGAAACCTACCAACGGCAAGTACCAATGTGACTTTTTCCGAGTTATATGTACTTTCTAAGATTATTTAGACACCACTGACAAACGGTGAAGGAAAAACATCGTGAGGAAACCTGGACTTATAATTTCTAATTGTAAGTTTGAAATCGCCAACCCGCATTGAGCAAGCGTGGTGATTAATGCTCTAACCTTCTCCGTGTGAGAAGAGGCTTTGCTCAGCAGTGGGCATTTATAGGCTGTTGATGATGAAACAACAGATAAAAACAAAACAAAAATCATTCAAAAATTTCAATACCGTTTATCTTGACAGATGGAATCGATTAACCCGAGACGCCTTGCATGGCAGTCGCAATTGCGACCACTCGGCCAACGAGATTTGGTTCGTAATGGCTACCATAGATTCATAGTTTCATAATCATAAGTTGTTAATTACTAAGCACAATAACAGCTACGTATAGATAATCTATCAAAATTCACCAAACAATACCGTATTTTAAACTAGATGGAGTTAAACACAACTTGTCGCTTTGGATACTACAGTATCCGTGGGCGTATGAGGCTACTTTTTTTTGGATACCGTACTATTCATGAATGTTTGAGTGGATATTATTTAAAATTATATTATATAGTCTAGACCTCAACATTACGTTTGAGAATGCGACAGTAAATTTCAAAAAATGCTATTCGAAAGTGTGTCTATTTGTCTGGCCGTCCGGAATGTGTAGTCGAACTATGAATATGAACAAATTAGTTTTTATAGTTAGCGACCCTATTTTTTGCTAACATAAGACTAATTTTTGTCTGACATGTGTTTTGTGTATAATTTCTGGCGAAATGTAGTATGTAGTATTATAGTTAGAGACTCTATTTCTGTACACACAAAGTTGATTTTAAAATGACATATTTTTTGTAATGTTCTAAAAACCTCTGTGCTTAGTTAGTGCAATAGTACATTGCGCTACATATTGCACTTTATTAACAAAAGGGTAGACAGAATGACACTTGTATAATAAGTTGTTTTATAAGTCACTTATAGTACCTACCTAACTACATATATATTCCTGCCTCGTTGGCCGAGTGGTCGCAATTGCGACTACCGAGCAAGGCGTCTCGGGTTCGATTCCCGGGTCAAGCAAAGTATTACTGGGTTTTTTTTAAATTCTGAGTAGTAGCACGGAGTCTGGAACTGTGCCCGGTATATGGCAATAGACTCAACCCCATTACATGGGAGTCATAACAAAAATATTGAAAAGTGGATGTTACATTGTTTAGTGGCTATAGTGTCGTAATGTGCACCACTGCCTATCCCTTCGGAGATAAAAGGCGTGATGATATGTTATGTGTATGTTTTATACCTTCCGTCTGTCTCCCTTGGAGATAGGGAGAGACTATAGAATGTCAATTGTTATAACTCTTTCATATCTTTCTTTCCTCAAGAGTTATAGGTTGCTATCATGCATGCTCGTCAGTTAAGGTATTATAATACCTATGTTAATATCAGTAAAACCTTATCGTAGTACTCAAGATGTCTATTGATAATAAGAGATTAAGAATAATGGTAATAGCAGAGAGTATAAATACAATACTACAAGTATTGTTACAGGATTAAGATAAGCAGAGGTAGTGGCTAAATATAAATAAGTAGGGACATAATATACCTGACTTCGTGTGGTCGCAAGTGCGACTGCTGGGCAAGAAGTCTCGGGTTCCGTTCCCGGGTCGGGCAAAGTATTACTGGGTTTTAAAAAAAATCTCAGTAGTAGCACGGAGTCTAGAATTGTGCTCGGTATATGGCAATAGGCTCACCCCCTATTACATGGGACTCATAAAATAAATAGTGAAAAGTGGGTGTTACATTGTACAGTGGCATAATGTGCACCTCTGCCTACCCCTTCGGGGATAAATGGCGTAATGTTATGTTAAGATAGTAGCATTCCTAAAATCCCTTCACAATTTTCAGTCACATTTTCGACCTTATAACTCTGGAAACAAGGCGAGTGTAGGAGCTCACAGCCGCGGTGCGTATGTACCGGGAATTCTTTTATCTAATAGTATGTGGAAGAAAACACCGATGTCTGTGTACACCAAGCAGCTTTATTGAACTGAACTAAATATAACATTAAGTAAAATCGCGGGTTACTCACGTGAATATACTGAGAAAAGCTCTACATAGTTAGAGAGTGAGCTGCGCGACGTCGCCGCGCACACTGCTCATGAGGAAGAACCCCTCTGTGGTTCGAAACTAGTAGAGCTTTTCTCGGTATATTCACGTGAGTAACCCGCGATTTTACTTAATTTAGTCTGTCTCACGATAGTTATTATAAATATAACATGTAAACAAAACTTATAATTACATATGACAATGCGATCAGTATATAATTGTCGAGCGTGCTCTTACAGCGAGAGCATTACTAAATTGTATTGTGCGTAATCTAATCTTGTATGAGCCTAATTAAAATCTTTTAAATCATATTCACAAATATTTACATAGCCTTATGCAATGTAATGCAATGGATGTTGCCAGGGTAAAGGAAACATCCATGTGATCACGTCACATCATCTAATCTAGCATCTAAGTAGATAATTATTAGTTTAGTTAATAGCTGCCATCAATTATAACATTACCTACATTGATAATATAAATAGTATTAGAATTAAAAAGGAAGGGACACGTATTTTTAATTAAAAAGTAAATTCTAAACCCAATTAACGAATTTACTCCCTACCTCATTGACTGACCTGATGATCCAAGTTGCCAAAAATTCTCAGCAAACCCACGGAATCTGGGAGTGTGCAGAATATGAGATTCATAATATAACAACTGCTCCTTCTGCCTCTGTTCTGTCGAACCCTTCGAGGTATTAAAGATGTATTTATATTAATGAACTGTATTCTACACAGATATCAAATAAATAAGAAATGTCAGAAAATGTGGCTAATAATTTTTTTTTATACATTTCAGGTATGGCCGCAAAAAATCATTCTTGGTGGCAATTTCCACCCTGATCATCTTCGGTCTGGCGATGCCATTCTCGCCAAACTACTTAGTGTTCACGATACTGCGGTTCCTGACTGGTCTGGCGACGTCTGGCACCATGGTGGTGTCTTTTGTGATGGTCATGGAAGCGGTGGGCCCAAGGTACCGAGAGGTCACTGGGTGCTTGTTCCAGATACCTTTTATTATTGGTTAGTATTGTATAATATTGCATTGCGCTACATATTGCACTTTATTAACAAAAGGGTAGACAGAATGACACTTGTATAATAAGTTGTTTTATAGGTCACTTATAGTACCTAACTACATATGGTCCTATGGAGTATCTTGCTTGTTTTTCTCCATAGGAATCTACACCTAGGAATAAAATAGCTTCACTAGAGGTCTTTTTTATGGGATAAACCGGTAAACGAGCAGACTGATCACCTGATGGTAAGCAATCGGCGTCGCCCATGGACACCTGGAACACCAGAAGATTACCGATTGCAAGTGCGTTACCGGCCTTTTGGAATTAGAAAATTTGAGAATTGTTGGGTATTCAGGCATATGGGAAGCGTGGGGGTCCTCCTTATCTATTGTAAATACGTAATCTTAGAACACACTTCAACCAGTCAATGACTCCAGGTTGGCTGGGGAGGCCTAAGTTCAGCAGGGAACGTCTTGTGGGCTAAGATACTTGATTACATGATATACCGACTGCCTTCTTGGAAGTAACAGCAAAGTTAGCAAGCTTTTAAAACACTACGAGGCTTCGAAGCATGAATAACACTTATTATAATTTGTTTAAATGCGCTAATCTTAGGAACTACTGGTCCATTTATCGCGGAAGCTTATAGGCTATAAAACATTACGTTACAATCTATAAGAGCTGAGTAGAACGAGTGAAACTAAGCAGATGTGGCTAGTATAATAGAATTTTCCTAACCACGGCTTCTCACTTCTGACTGATAGAGAACTTGACATGATCAGAAGAACAAATATATTTATTGTTAAGTATAATATATTGTAATAACTGAGTTCTAACCGCATTAGGCTCGAATTCAAGGTCTTGTCTAACTGGATTTCCAACTTCTAGACTAATAAGGAAATGTGACCTTTATCTTTATTTTTATTACTCGATCATGCAATACTAATTTAGCATCTGCAACTAACTATAATTATTTACAGTAAATACTAAAATTATTGATCCTATCCGCATCGAATTCAAATCACTTCTGCACAAATTAGTTTTAGACAAATAGCTCGTCTTATGTTACCTTTACACCCGGCTGTTAATATTACTGACTATTGAACACAGTATAATATGAATTGAGTTCCTTTGGTATTACAGACTGCCTCGTTGGCCGAGTGGTCGCAAGTGCGACTGCCGGGCAAGGGGTCTCGGGTTCGATTCCCGGGTCGGGCAAAGTATTGCTGGGTTTTTAAAAAAATCTCAGTAGTAGCACGGAGTCTGGAAATGTGCCCGGTATATGGCAATAGGCTCACCCCCTATTACATGGGACTCATAACATAAAAAGTGAAAAGTGGGTGTCACTTCTATGTGCACCTCTGCCTACCCCTTCGGGGATAAAAGGCGTGATGTTATGAATTATGTTATGAATGGTATTACAGTTGAGCCTCAACATTATAATATAACGTGAAGATTTTCCTAAACACTAGACAGACTAGGATTGCGTTCCGCGCACGCCTTAAGGAGCCGTCAACCCACCACGGATGGGGCCCAATAGGGCTGATGCCGATACGGAGGCGCGGAGAACTTAACGGGTTACCGGGGCTCCGGCTCGAAGTGCATGAGTAGGTACGGGGTGGTTTTTAGTCTGTAAGAGTTTGACACTCCATCCCGCTTCACCCAGGCGGAAGCATTCATTCGATGATTTTCCCCACTTAACAAAAAATACACTAGACTGCCTCGTTGGCCGACCAGGCAAAGTATTACAGGGGTTTTTTAAAAAAAATCTCAGTAGTAGCACGTTATATGGCAATTGTGTCCGGTATATGGCAATGGGCTAACCCTCTATTACATTGGACTCATAACATAAATAATGAAAAGTGGGTGTTACATTGTACAGTGGCATTAAGTGCCATTGTGTAATGAGCTCCTCAGCCTACCCGTTCGGAGATAAAAGGCGTAATGTTATGTTATCTTCCTAAACAATTTAAAATTAATGTTCCAGGTCACATGACGATACCACTCTTCGCGTACTACTTCAGGAGTTGGAACACCTACCTGCTGGCGCTGGGGATCCCTCCCCTGATCTACTTGGGCTACTTCTTCGTGCTGCACGAGTCTCCACGGTGGCTGGTCAGCGTTGGGAGAGTCAAGGAAGCCACTGACATAGTCACCAGAGCTTGTATCTTGTAAGTACTTTTTGTTTGAGGATTGATGCTGGTGAGGATTGATGAGGGTAGGCTGCTGCCAGCATCTTATGGTCTGGTGGTCTGGTCTATGTATAGACCATTATCTACCATTTTCTAAATTTCATCCCGATCTGTTCAGCTGTGTTGGCGTGAAGGAGTAATAAACATACAAACAAACAGTCATAAGATTTAACATAACATCACGCCTTTTATCCCCGAAGGGGTAAGCAGAGGTGCACATTATGCCACTGTACAATGTGACACCCACTTTTCACTATTTATGTTATGAGTCCCATATAATAGGGTGTGGTCCTATTGCCATATATCGGGCACATTTCCAGACTCCGTGCTACTCCGTGAGGTTTTTACAAACCCCGTAATACTTTGCCCGACCCGGGAATCGAACCCGAGACCCCTTGTCCGGCAGTTGCACTTGCGACCACTCGGCCTACGAGGCAGTCCTTTGACTGATATCTTATATGACTCAGTGCTATCCTTAACCCAGTTCTTAAGTTCCCGTATGATTTTATATCTTTACTTGTTTAGTATTTATCTCAGTAGGTACTTACTTAAATCATATAATTTTACTACAAAGATAACTGGGGCCCTAGACACGTGTTATTGTGACACAACGAGCAAATTATTAGCAACTATTATTGTTTGTCAGTAAACATCGTGGCAGGCCCAAAATGAGATGGCGGGACGGATAAGCCGGCCGGCAAGGATTGGCCGCAAAAAGCTTTACATATAGAGGAGTGGATGAAGGGTAGGGAGGCCTTTACCCTGCAGTGGGACGAAGATAATAAATAAATAATTATTGTTTGGGTAAAATATCGTGGTAGCCCGGAGATTTAAGACCGCTTCTCATGCATGAGAATGCGGGATCGAAACTTACTAACGGCAAGTACCAATGTGACTTTTTCCGAGTTATATGTACTTTCTAAGATTATCTAGACACCACTGACCAAAGGTGAAGAAACACAGCGCAAAGAAACCTGGGCTTATAATTTTTATAAGTTGGGAATCGGAATCATAACAGTCCTACACGTGCCGTAAAGTTTACATAACTTAACAGTACAAATAATTGCTATACGATAACAATTAATCTTTCTCTAATACCTCGCAAAAAACCTCGACCATATTTGCAAGATCGTAAAAATGCCATCAAGCTGCAAGTCAGGCATTTGATATGAAAATGAATCTTATTTAACATGGTAATAAGGCACATAGAGTTAAATTATCAATGTATCGGCCTTCTAGATCTTTCTTTTCAGTAGTAAAAAATATATAAAAATAAAACGAACAAGTACTAACTTAGTTTATATACTTATTCTTATCATAGTCCTATTGAACTAGTTTTTGTACGTCACTGTGTCACATTCGTTGCAGGTACTTTCTTCCACTACAAGGTTTAATTTTGCAAAACGGCCTATTTGCTGAGAATCTAGATAACTCGGTATAGATATGTTACCAAAATTAATGTAAAAGTATTTACAAATAAAATTGTATGTGGTTCCGTCCCTATAAGTAATTGTAATGTTTTGAGATGCCAATATTCAAATCGGTATAATTAAACCAGTATCTGATTACCAAAAACAATGTGCAAAAAACGATAATACGTAACGTTCGCAACCAGTTCGATACTAGAGTCTGGCAAAGTATCAAATATTCACGAAATTATTCATAGGTATGGTAAATCGAAACCATGTATTATGAATTAATGCTGTTATAACCACAACAGATTTCTGATCCAATACAGTAAATAACACATTCATTACTATTTATTAATCAAATCAAATCAAAAATGTTTATTTGCTGAAATACGGTACAAAAGGTGTTACAGTGCAATTTTTTCCAGCGTATCCTGCCATATATGGCGTGCAAATTTATCATTAAAATTATACTATCTAGATTCTATCGACTTATCTTCTAAATAGTCCTCAATTAATTAATATCATAACAAAAACCTACCAAAACCCACCTTCGACCATCAGAAAAAGAGACAGCACACACATGATATTTAATTTACCATCCCACAAAGAAACAGCACCATTTCTTATCTTAACCACCCCATCTTTTCAATTACAGAAATGACAGACCAACAGCAAAAGTCGAGGAGACTCTCACACAAATGTCGAAGGAGATCGCTGCTAAAGCTGACGAACCCAAGCCTAATTACCTGGACCTGTTCAAGAAGTTCCTGCTGTTGAAGACAGTCTGTTGCTGCATCATGTGGGTGATTACCGGCATCATCTTCTTTGGCTTCAACCAGTACATCAGTCAAACCAGTCCGGATCCGTTCATCAGTGTTGCTTTGGCTGGTGCTATACAGGTAGCTATAACAACTAATTTGCCTCTCTAAGAGTCGATTTTTCAACCATCAGTTAAATGAACTGTAGAATAAAATTGGCAGTTAACAGTATTTAGTATGGAAAAAAATTTTTTTTTTTTTTTTTCTTCTCCTCTTATAATATCTTCTGATTCATTTCGTTGCGGGAACCAAGACAGTTACTCATGTCCCTGGGACGCGCCGGACTTCAGTGTTCCGGTGTTTTCATGGTTGTATCTACTGTAGATCCTGGCTTACAGGAGTTGCAGCGGTTTTGGGAGGTTGTGGCGGGCTTGTCCCAATTAAAAAAAAAAGTATTTAGTATGGAAGGATTGTCAAATATTCAGTTATTTCTCAGTTAACATTTATCTGAGCATTGAAAAATTGGCCCTAAGTTTAGTTGCAAAGCAATTTCAATTTTAGCAAGACCTCCGAGTTATGTTCGTACAGACAAAAATAAATATACGGAGGTCGATCTCCAGAAGAAGTACAGCTATAATATCGGGATTCTCAAATTCTGAATAGCTAATTGAATTAAAAATCTATGTACATTAAAATTGTTGACGTTTTTAAGCCATGAATGTTGATAAAATACTACCTACGAAAGAATATCGAATAATAATCCATGCTATATGATTACTTAGCATTCAAAACTAACTTTAACACTAATAACCTTTACTTTACTGTCCAGGTCCCCTCCAACCTACTCTCAATCTGGCTCATCAAGAAATTCGGCCGAAGACTGACCGCCTCCATCTCCTTCATCATGCAAGGAGTCTTCATCTTGGTCCTTTACTTTGTACCTAAGATCTTCGCTGTGACCCTCATCATTGGCACTTTGGGAGTCAGCTGTTCTGCCATCGCTGCTTCTACCATCTACATTTATACTTCAGAGCTTTACCCAACTGTGCTCAGGAATATGGGGATGGGAGCTTGCTCCACTGCAATGAGGATAGGTTCCATGGCTGCTCCCTTTATCTCCAACACATCGACAACTATACCTTGGTTACCTACGGCCATTTTTGGAACAACACCGGTATTAGCTGGCCTGGTGGCTCTCTTGTTGCCAGAGACCAAAGGCAGGAGTCTACCTGATAGCATTGAGGATGTACGAACGACTGATTCAGACTGATACTGAACGATGAATCAGTTATTATTGAAGAATCCTAATGTGATCGTAATTTTTTCATGGTGGTGCTACCTTCCCAAATGAGTGAGGGCATTATTAATAGCCAGTTATTGTAGAAAATAAACTTAAATAAAGGTACATGATAGGCTTATTACTCCTGACGCTAGTTCAAGATGTATTAGAGTTAAATAGTATGTTGTTTTTATCCAAAATAAAAGTGTTATAAAGTGTGTGTATGTGTCCACATACAAGGATGATTTTTTCATGACATATGGAGATCATCTTCCTTTGAAAAAAAACCTGGAAATATTGAAACAAACAGTATTCAAAATACTGGTTTTGTTGGTAGCGCCTAAGTGAAAAATACAATTTGTGATACAATAAACATAATGTGATATTTTGACGTTTTAGCAACAATATTAAATATTACCGTTTTTATGATTCCACATTTAAATGTGTAGATATTAACAGACTAACGTACGAAACTGAAAGGCAACTTTAAGTCGCGCTTAAGTGTTGCGGAGACCCTAACGGGTTACGGGGGCTCCGGCTCGACGTGCAGGAAAAGGAACGGGGTGGTTTTTAGTCAGTAAGAGTCTGACACTCCCTCCCGCCTCACCCAGGCGGGAGTAGTCATTCGATGATATTCCCCCCTTAAAAAAAAGTCGAGCTTAAGTATACTTGTCACTACAAATTCTTTATAGACTGACAGCGATGGCACTGTGGCGACACATCACACAGCAAATGACAGTTCACGCACACAGATGAAAAAACTATTCAACGGATGACGTCACGAAATCCTACATCGCACATGCAAAGTTTACATGCGAATTAACATCCCGACGAACAACTCGCCTGGTCGGAGGATCCTCCTTTTCCGATCTTGGGGACCTATACTCTCTGTTCCCTAAAGCACGGTAATTAGGGTACAACTTAAAATGTAGTAGCCTTTCAGTATTTGGGCGTTAGTAAAGGATTGCTCGATAGTTTATTAGTCTATTAGTATAAGTTAACAATATGTCATTAAGTGGAATATCTATATAGTTAATAATTTAAAGTGCCTTATTCTTAAGTGCCAAGCAGTCTCGAGTTTGGTACCGGGATCGTACAAAATGTTAATAAGATATAGTTTTAATTTCATCCAAATTGACGTAGGTACAATTTTCTTGTGCCTACGTCGATTTGGATGTAGAAATACCTTAAAATTAATTATAAGTAGATATGTAATTATATTTATGTGCGATAGCCAAGTAAATGGATTAGTTTCTTGTCATAAAATACTCACTATTGACAGAAGGAAAACAATGCACTTTTACTTTTAGAATATTGCTTAATGTGTACGGTAAAAAGATATTTGTTTCTGTAAACATAGGCTTCAAAATAGTACTTTCATAAATAACAATGCCTTCACTAGAATTCGTCGTGTATAAATAGTACCTACTTAGTTTAAATACCAATATTATTAAAACTTAAAGTGTCAAATATGAAATAAAATTATATGAAAATAGTGATAATATCTGCCTACCCCCATGGGAGACAGACGTGAGGTTATGTAATTATGTATGTACGTATATATATATATGAAAATACTTTAAGGTAATAGATAAAATATCAGAGTAACTATGTTGATTTTCTTTATTTTACGGAAACTCTCGGTTGCAGTAAATCACAAAATATTAAAAATAAATTAATTTCATTTTTAATTCAAATGAATTAAGTAATGATTACACATTTTGATTAACATTACACCAATAAAACAATAATAAGTATCGATTAACCAATTTTAATTTAATACTTAAATCCTTAGGTATAATTTAATGTCTAGACTAGACCGAATAAAACACAAAATTTCCTTATGAAACTGAATACCAGTGATTACAAGACACAAGTAAGGATAGCTTTAAAATAAACTCGAAATCTATGCGAATTTAGAGTCATATATATTTCCTTCCTATCTATAAAAATCCATAATAAATTTTGAGCTTTGAAGTAAATATTATAAATAATTAATCTGATTTAGATTTTGACCTCATAGAAAATTTAAAGATAACAAATATTACACACATCTTCAATATTCATTCATTCAGGTTCGAAATGAACTGCCGATCCACGTAAAACCTCTAACAGGTAATGTTACTATTTATATCCAACTGCGTTACCCACTGCCAACCCTGGTGATTACTGTTTAAATATTACATGGTTCTGATATAGATTGTCATCAGCTAGCTCCTCTCAGGTTGAGTCCAAACGGTGACTTCGTTCCGGTAATCAAATAGAAGTTGCCACGCAAACTGTAAATATTTAAAATGCAGATAAAATACTAAGTTATTAAAGAGTAGAATGTGAAAAATACTTTAATGAGTAAGATCGTTTTTCCAATTAATTTTTGTTACAAAAATCTCAGTAATGCAAATTGAAAAACGTTTAATTATTATGTTTCGTCTTAATGTGTCGCGGGTCGCTGATTGCTGCTCATGAATATGAGCCTTTAGCATGGCTTGAAACTAGTCGAGTTCCTCGGCAAACAGATACGTGAGTAAGCCGAAAACATAATAATTATTTAGTAGGTATGTCTTACGAAATTTTTAATAATTGACAAATGTTGCCTAAAATTAAAAAATGGCTATAATTGTGCCCAATTGTGCCCCTGCTAATAGGCAACTAATATCATAATAGAGAAGAGTTTATTTCTCTATGCATGCAATGGCTATCTCTCTATCTAATTCTTCAGGGAAAATTAGACGGAAAAATTGAAAAATGTGAACTTACTCCGGTGTTGACCGTATCCCCATAAATACAAGTGGCTGATCCGAGCACTGTCCTCGGAGGAAGGTGTCGTAGTCCTCACACGTACGCGCGAGGAAGTCATCCCTCAGCAGGGACTCAGACCAGAACTCCCATGAACGCCAGTGACTGCAAAAATCTGGAACAAACAGGCATTTAAATGGTTAGTATTATTTTTATCTGGGTATGTGAGAATATTATAATCTAGTACTTATTATCCTAAGTTTGTTTAAAAAGAAGTATAAATTAAATGATAATTATTCAAAAAATACTCTATATAAAATTATAAACACAAATATTGGAAATAAGAAAATAATGTGGATACAGACTAGTGTTTACATCAATTAATGATATGCACAACATTCAAGTATAACTTGAGTGACAGTAAAAATACAGTACCGTACCTTATAAATAAGAATTTCAATTTCAAGTTATTAATGAAATCTGCTTACATAGAATCTAATCTGATCAGATCAGATACTAATCTGCCCAGATATTTTAGATATTCAAGATAATAGTAGGTTAGTATAATCTTGTTTAAACGCTTAAGGTTTTGACTGCCAATGGAAAGCTGTTGATGGACAATCCTGCAGCGTACGGCGCGTCGCGTTCAGCGCGCACCTCATAGAGCCATCATACCACCACGGGTGGGGCCAACAGGGCTGATGCCGATTCGGAGTCGCGGAGAACCTAACGGGTTACCGGGGCTCCGGCTTGAAGTGCAGGAGGAGGAACGGGGTGGTTTTAAGTCAGTAAGAGTCTGACACTGAGCCATTCGATGATTTTCCGATGACTCTCACGGCGTTAAATGTATTAAACTGGCTCTGTAAAGTTTCTAAAAAGTTAATAACATTATTAAATTTGAATAATAGACCTTACCTTCATTGCTAAGAGGTATGGTAGCAGACAAGCATCCAGGTTGCTTGGCCTGCCCCCCATTAGGCCAGAAGTCAGCGTGACCCGTGGAGTCTGGAGCTCCATACCCTCCACCGTCCGTGTGAATGACGTCCACAAAATCTGCGTCTGCTGGAGTCATGGGTGGTGCTGCTAAAGGTGGGTAGAAACCTGGGTACGCTGGGTCTAGACCGGTTAACCTAGAATAGGAAGAAAATACTTAGAAGTAAAACGATATTACATTTACCTACTTACTCTACAATCGAAAATAGGACACCATTAGTTTACCCGGGAATTGAAACCAAGGTTTCTTTCTACTTGCGACCACGTAACTAAATTTGTAGGAGAGCCATGCTTCGGCATGAATGGGCCGGCTCAACCGGAGTAACCTCACAGAAAACCGATGTGAAGCAACGCTTGCGTTGTGTTTCGTCGTGTGACTGAGGTTACCGGAGGCCCAATTACCCTCCCCTTTCCCAATCTCCCCAATTCCTGAATCCCCAACGATCCTCAAACTCCTAATCCCCAAAAGGCCGGTAACGCACTTGTAACGCCTTTGGTGTTCCAGGGGTATGTATAACCTTTTACGTGTATAACACATAAGTCATTGTAATGCAAAAACTATCTGACTTGGAATTTTTTTTAACATTTTTCTGATAACTTTTGGAACCTTGCCGATCACCTGATGCCATTTGATCGTCGAATTCAGGGACACCCTGTATGAAAACGTATTTGTTTGTCTTTCTTCATTACGATATTAGATAGTGGCAGGCGATAGGCTAGTGTGTGTTAAAAGCTACGTTTTCCCATTCAACTTGCAGGCAAAGCCGCGGGGAACAGTTAGTTTAATTTTGGTGTACAATATACCTACATTTGCTAGCATCGCTATTCGTAACTCTATGCTATAAAAGGTAGAATGGAAAAACCAAACCGCAAAATCCTACCTGGGTACTTTAGATCCTCTCGCCGAGAGATACCTCGCGATGTAAGCACAGATGTGGCTCCCCAGAGAGTGGCCGACCAGGTGTAGGTTCTGTACTGGTAACCCTTGCTTCACCAACTTGTATACTGATTTGCCAACGAATTCTCCCACCTGGAATGTAGAAAAGAATAGAATTAGATTAATCACAGTTTTTTTCAGGAGGGAAAGTCATCGAATGACTGCTCCCGCCCGGGTGAGGCGGGAGGAAGTGTCAGACTCTTACTGACTAAAAACCACCCCATTCCTTCTCCTGCACGTCGAGCCGGAGCCCCGGTTGCCCGTTAGGTACTCCGCGACAGATTAATCACACTAACATTATAAATGTGGGAGTTTCTTTGTTTGTATGTTTGTCCGTCAATCACGCTGAAACGAATCAACGGATTTTGATGAAATTTGGTATACAGGCAGGGCATGAGTTGAATTAGGTGATAGAACCGGATTAGGATAGGATTTTTTATCCCGATTAAATGCTCTCTTGGGATAAAACAGGAATCATATTCTACGCGGACGAACTCGCGGGCAACATCTAGTTCGGTAAAATGCTCTTCAGATCAGATATTTAATAAATTTGTAAGTTGTAACTGTATACCTATATACCTAAAACCTGGTCACATACAACATACAACGAATTGAGAACCTCCTCCTTTTTGCGAAGTCAGTCAAAAGGAAATATGACCAAATAGGTAAAGGTGCGCAGATTTAATTTAGTGGTCATTTTTAGCGAGTCAACGAGAACCGATTTTGATGCCGTTTTCTGAAAAGTGTTTGTTACACTTGAGAAAAGGTTTTAGGTAGTATATTAATTAACTAACTTTAAAAAAGAGGGGGTTGAAGTCGGTTTTTAAACGTAGTTTATAAAAGAACTGTTATTCACGCTACGCGCCCTCGTCGCTGCTCATGAAGGAAGAACCCCTCTGTGGTTCGAAAATAGTACTTACTTTATTTATTTATTTATAATTCATGGAGGACTTACAGCTTGTAAAAATGGATAAAAATAACAATAGGCGTAGGTAACAATGAGCCAATAACTAGTCCTCACGTTTAGCATTTGGAATAAATTAAATAATATGGTGTGAGTACTATACAATATTAAAAATACATACATTCTGGGTAAATGAAAAAGTTAAATATTGAAACAGACCGTACAGACAATATGATTATAAACAGATCAAGAGAAACGATTAACAAAAATTAAATATCTAGTGCTGCTTAAAAAATTTGAGGATTAAGCACCTCTTTTCCGAGTTCACACCAGTTGTAAACGGATCGAAGTCATATTCCTTACAAACATTGTTAAAGTGTCTGCTTTCACGCACAATGTAACTGTTCTGCCTGTAGTTAGATGAGGAACGGGATACGTGTAAAGGTGGATTAAATCTAAATATTTTATTAGGTACATTAAATTTGATTTTTGATAATAGTTCTGGACTATCCACATTACCGTTAAGAACCTTCAACAAGAATAGACAATCTGCAATGTTGCGTCTATCTACCAATGGTAATAGATGGAATTTTCTAGAGTTCAAGATAACGGGCAGACTGGTATGATATATTTTGGTGGAAACTGAGATATTTTATAAAACGTTTTTTAATGTTTTCCACGCGGTCAATATATTTCTGATATCTTTATCGTTTCCATACCTGAGAGCTACTCCTACTTAAAGCTTTTTTCAGTATATTCACGTGAGTAACCCGCGATTTTAGTTAATTTCGCGTAAATTTAATTTTTAGGTAGATTTATTAAAGTTTTGTATTATATGAACTGACAACTGAGGTCGCCAGACAGGGTCACTATTACGTAACATAATAAGAAACATATAACCTCATTAATATTTAGGTATAACAATAGTAACCTTCAGATATACATGTAACAGTAAATACAAAATTAATATTCATTCATTTCCGCTGAGAGCCTTCGGATACAAAAAAAAATAAGCCGTACTGGAAATATTTCTTACTAGCTTTTACCTGCGGCTTTGCCCGCGTATTCCTGTTTTATCCCATGGGAGCATTTAATTGGGATAAAATGTATCCTACCACCTAAGCCTGTCTGTATACTAAATTTCATCAAAATCTGTTCAGTAGTTTCAGCGTGATTGACGGACAAACATTAAATCATCCAAACAAAAATCTTTCACATTTATAATATTAGTGAGAAATAAAAGATAAAAAAAATGCATTTTTAAACTTCCAGCATGCCTGCAGCTAACGAATTTTACTCACACCAACGTCTTATATTTACCTTATCTTAAGTGAGAATCAAATTCGCAATAAATAATTACGTAGTCAAAGACATTAAAAAACAATTTGAATATCTCCCAATAACATTTTTTTATGGCATAAGCCGGTAAACGAACAGACGGATCACCTGATGGTAAGCAATCGGCGTCGCCCATGGACACACGCAACACCAGAGGCGTTACAAGTGCTTTACCGTTATTCAGATCGAAGCATGGCTCTCCCACACTTATCGAAGCATGGCATGGCATTACGAAAATACAACATAATAATTGTAAAACAAGTCATTCATTTTATTAAATTACTTAAACTGTCCTTGCAGTCTGGCAGACGGATAAACGAGTAATTAATTCGCAATATACTGCAGATTATATCAGTTTCAAACCAAAATAACGCAAAATTTCATTTCAAAATGTAAAAGAACTTGTACTTATTTCTCAAGCAGTAACACAACTGCCTACGACCTTGGTATACACCTTGATGTCATTGGTTTTGCAAAATGCTGAAATTATGCACAGAGCAGATCATAAGTCATTTATAAGTTGTTAATTTATATGTTATCTCAAGTTGAAAATCTGTTACAGCTCAACATGGTAATATCTTTACACAATTGTTTTCTAAACTACGTTTAAAAAACCGACTTCAACGGTAATTAACATACTAAAACCGCATCAAAATCGGTTAAGCCAATCGCGAGAGGGGGATAATCATCCAATGACTTCATCCGCATTGGGTTAGGCGAGAGAGGCTGAGAGTGTCAGACTCACAGAAATATTAAATACTAGCTTCTGCCCGCGACTTCGTATGCGTGATCCCATTTTTTCCCGTCCCCGTTCGTGATTTTCGGTAAAAAGTAAAAAAAAAATTGGTTAAAAAGTATCCTAAGTATAAAGTATATATATAGATATCTGTGGTCAGACTATTCTGACTAAAAACCACCCCGTTCCTACTCCTGCTTCTTGATCCTGCCCCGGTATACCTATTGTTAGTAAGTAACTTTATTATCAACTAGCTTTTACCCGCGGCTTCGCTCGCTTCACAAAGAATAAAAAGTAGCCTATGTGACATATACCAATACACACAGCGCCATCTATACCAATACTTTTGTTTTTCCTCGGGAATATCAATTTTTCCGGGTTAAAAAGTACCCTATTATTTAATCCGGACTTCTAACTTTACGTCTGCAAAAATTCAAAGCAATCGGTTGAGTAGTTACGGCGTGAAGGTGGAACAAACAAACAAACAAACAAACTCACTTTCAGATTTATAATATTAGTAAAGAAGTAAAGATATTCAATAACCTCAAGATTAATAAATTGTCTTACATGTGGTAAGGTCTTGGCTACGACGACATAGTTCCCGAAGGCGAGATTGGACCAGTCTAGGACCAGTATGTTGTACCCGCCGCGTTTAAGGTAAGCAGATACTACGGTCCTTAAGCTGTCGTCTGTCAGGAGCTCCACGTAGCTAAGGACAAGGAAGAATTTGTTTTATAATAACTATCGTGAGACATATTAAATTAACTGAAAATTGCGGGTTACTTACGTGAAAATGCTGAGAATAGCTCTACTACTAGTTTCGAACCACAGAGGGGTTCTTCCTCATGAGCATCGTGCGCGGTCGCAGCGATGTCGCGCAGCCTACTGCGATTCGAAACTAGTAGAGCTTTGCTCTCAGTATTTTCATGTGAGTAACTCGCGATTTTTAGTTAAGGAAGAATTTATTAGTATTTTAGGGAACAGAGAGTATAGTTCCCTAAGATCGGAAAAGGAGGATCCTCCGACCTGGCGAGGTGATCGTGCCTGGCGGGCTTTCTGCCCAACAGTTGTTCGTTGGGATTTTCTATCCGTGTTTATTCGCTTGTAAACTTTGCATGTGCGATGTAGGATTCTTGTGACGTCATCCGTTGACATGTGGTACGCGTCGCCACATCACTCCCTCCCAAGACCGGAGGTCGATTCCGCTGAGACTGCTGTCGATGCTTGAGATGAGCGGTGCCAGAGCCAGTGTAGAACGTCCCTAGCTCCAGTGGGTCGGAACTGTGCCGCTGAGTGCCCAGTGAGTCGGGTGAGCGGTGCAGGGTTAAACTCCAGTGAGTCGGAGAGATGAGCTCGCAGTGTCCCACGGTGAGTCGGGGAATAGATGCTGCGAGGGTAGGTGCGTAGTGGCTGGCGTCTGCGTTGACGGGAGGAGATGTCCTTCAGAACCGTGTGCAGAAGTGCTGTGCCTAGACGCTGATGAGGCCGTAGGGAAGAACCAGGCTGCACAACTTCGTTGCAGGCGATGATTGTCCCTGATGAGGCCGAGGATGCTGGTTGGCTGCGACTTGATTACCGCTCAGCGGAGAAGTGATGAATGAGAGGGATGGCGATACGGATGACTGTGCTGATCTGCTCCGTGAAGTGAAGGTTGCTTCCAATCACGTCGGGGTCACCACTGTAGGGAACAGAGAGTATAGTTCCCTAAGATCGGAAAAGGAGGATCCTCCGACCAGGCGAGGTGATCGTGCCTGGCGGGCTTTCTGCCCAACAGTTGTTCGTTGGGATTTTCTATCCGTGTTTATTCGCTTGTAAACTTTGCATGTGCGATGTAGGATTCTTGTGACGTCATCCGTTGACATGTGGTACGCGTCGCCACAGTATATCTCCTTCGTACTACAATTAAAAATATACGGTTTTACATTCCATATCTGAAAGCAGTTACTTAATAGTTTAAAATACTAACCATCAATCATGTTGGAAGATTTTGCGCAAGTTCCCATTTGCCTTCCTTTTATTCACATAAAGGATATGGTACGCATTCTGGTGCCTAAACATGCATAATTACATCAAATGTAATCCCAACTTTTCTTTAGTAACAGGGGTAGCCCCTGTGTCTAATTGCCAGTGTTAACGTAAATTAGGCACAATGTTAGTAAGAATATCAAATATGGAAAAGCATAACTAGGACCTGGATTTTCAAACTTACCGAAGGGTTTGCGACCATTCAATAAACAGTTAAAAAGAAATTGAATAAAAAAATAGTTGCGTCACTCACCCATGAGCGTAAAGTACAGTTGGTTTCTTGACGTCAAACGCTGGGTCTGACAGCACCGCCTTGATGTTGGCGATACGGTAAGAACTCAGTGACGTCACATTTGTACTGAAAAAAAACACAATTACATACAAAGCCGTATTATCATTATTCCTAAGACTAATTATGTGAGTGCCTAGGTACCGGCTTTACCATAAGGGCACTCGGAGCCCGTGCCCATGGCCCCCAACATAAGGGGGTCCCGAAACACCGACAATATCTACAACGGATACACCGCTACATGTTGCGCGGCAAGGGACTGCCCTGCAACGGGTAGCGGGTTCCATTCCCGCACGGATCAAATCTTTGTGTGATCCACAAATTGTTGTTTCGGGTCTGGGTGTCATGTGTATGTGAACTTGTATGTTTGTAAACGTACCCACGATACAGAAGATAATCCTATAATCTAGTGTGGTGCAACGTTAAAAAACGAGATGTTCCAAAAACGTCCCGATTAATGTGCCCAAGAGCCCTAGCGTGGTCTAAGACAGCTCTGGCCTAGGGCGCAAAGTCACACCAGCCAGTCGTTCAAAAGTGCCTTCCTGGTCTAATTGAAATAAATGATTTTGACTTTGACTTTGAGACGCTCAGGGTGCAGGAACGCCTGTGAGGTGCCTGCCTTGCCTCTACGTTAAATCCGGCTCTAATTACATATGTATCTGAAGTCTTTTTTAACAATACAACAATATATGAATTATCATACATTTCATCATCATCATAACATCACGCCTTTTATTGTAAGAGATTTAGAGATTTTATAGGCAAAGGTGCGCAATATGCCACTGCACAATGTAACACCCACTTTTCACTATTTATGTTATAAGTCCCATGTAATAGGGGGTGAGCCTATTGCCATATACCGGGCAGAATTCTACACTCCGTGCACCCACTGAAATTTTTTAAATAATCCAATAATACTTTGCCCGAAAAGGGAATCGAACCCAAGACCCCTTGCCCGGCAGTGCACTTGCGACCACTCGGTCAACGACGCAGTATCAACATATTAATAATAGGCAAAGTCCAAAGGTATAAGCGTCATCAATATTAACAGCCCGTGGCAGGTCTTTGCTCCAAGGGCCTCCTCTATATACATGAGAGTTTGCCATAATTTCCACGCTTAGCAGACTGGCAACTCAAGTCTTCGTGCTCGATGGCATTTGTGATCACTCCATCGAACGAAGGTTCGTTCTCCATCGAAACCCTTTAAAAAATATCAACACAACATAATTAATTATTATGTTTTTCAACTTACTCACGTAACTGTTTGATGCAGAACTCGACCAGTTTCAAGCCATGCTAGAGGCTCATATTCATGAGCAGCATTCCGCGACACACGACGCGGAGACTGTCGCGCTGCTACTGGATGAATACGAGCCTCTAACATGGCTTGAAACTAGTCGAGTTCCTCGTCGAATAATTACATGTAAAGTTTTAATACAAAAACTCAATGTAATGCTGAAATGGCTCACGACCTCATTTTTAATACAATGTGAAAGACAGAAATAGAAAAATAAATAACTACCTACGTAAGGTATTTACCATCCAATTTTCAAAATGTTACACAAGTAACAATTTGCTTGTATTGCAGACAAATAGCCCACTTACACTATTACTTAGATTCCAAACCGTTTGACCTAATACAAAGAAAACAATGCCTTATTACAGTAATCAAAAGGTAGTTTGTCGTAATGGCTTACCTGAAATATCGGATGATTATGTCGTCAACTACTGCTGAACGGCCAGGAGCGGCTGAAAAAGGTAAAGATTTTATTAAGAAAATGTATATTACCTTGATACCTATATTTTGCGGAGCGATGCAGGGATTATAGGGGACTTTTTAATTTTTTTGAGGGTGGAAAATCATCTAATGAATGCGGGAGAAGTCCCGCCCGGATCAGGACGAGAGGGAGTGACTTACTGACTAAAAATCACCCTGTTCCTACTCCTGCTCCTGTCCTTACGGTGGCCGGAGATCGTCTCGCGATCCCCGATGCCCAGAGTGTCATTCGCGACGGCTGGGGCATGAGGAGGTTCATTCCCTCACGTGTCCCGCCACCTCCTTAGCTAGCATATTACAGGGGACTTAAGGAGTAAAGTAGTTTAAGACAAAACCCGGGCTTAATATTGTTATTGTCGTATGACAGAAATTAACACTTTGGTTTCATCATACTTTTTATCGATTAAAAAGGATTTAACAAGGTGTTTATTTTATAATTGTAATAAAAAATGGAAAATACGTTATTATAAAAACATAAGCATTAAATACATATGCGTGTCCATAGAGTGACAGCGGCGACAAAAATAAATTAGAGGCGCCTATGAGGTGCTTACCTAAGGCACACTCTAGGTTTATTCCTTATTTGACCTACATCATGTTTTTTATGGAATAGGAGACAAACCAGCAGACGGGTCATTTGATGGTAAGCCATCAGCGCCGCCCATGGACACCCGCAACACCATAGGAGACACAGGTGCGTTGCCGGCCTTTTAAAAAGGAATACGCTCTTTTCTTGCAGGTTTGAAGGTCGTATCGGTTACATAAATACCGCCGACGACAGATCATTCCACAATTTTGCTGTGCGAGTCAGAAAGATGCGTGAGAAGCGCACAGTTGTGGCCTGCCAACCATCTATATGATGGGGATGCATATGCTGTTGTGAGGGTCGATAGCGAAAAGATGCGGCAGGTGGTATGCTCCCCGTGGTAAAAGCGATAGAAAATGCACAACGAAGCAACATTTCTACGCATTGCCAAAAGGTCTAGCCGGTTTAAGTTTCCCGACGTGCGCTGTTATGTGTGAAAGTGATACTTACTGCTGAGTCCCCTCACTATAGTCCTGAAGCTGTCTGAACCGAAGGGCAAGGAGGCTGGCCGTTGACTTCTGCAGGTCAACACCACTGTAACAAATATAAATCTAAGTTAGATGTATTAACATAACATCATTACGGCACTTAATGCCACTGTACAATGTAACGCCCACTTTTCACTATTTATGTTATGAGTCCCATGTAATAGGGGGTAAGCCTATTGACATATACGGGGCACAATTCCAGACTCCGTGCTACTAATGAGATATTTTTATTTCATTACATTTATCTTACCAAAAAAATTGGATTGCTTTCATAGATTGTCCAAGTACGGTACTAATCATGATTATCATCAACTGTCTATGACACGCCACTGCCAGACTGAGCCTCTTCTATACTTATAATCTTAAACCTTTTTATTATATAGAGGTAAAGCTGAAGATTTTGTGTGTTTGTTCGAACGGGCTTATCTCTGGAACAACTAGTTCGAATTGAATAATTCTTCTTTTATGTTGGATAGCCCATTTATCGAGGAAGGCTATAGGCTATAAAACATCACGCTTCTATCTATAGGAGCCGAGCAAAATGTACCATGTGGAAGTAGCTAGTCTCTTATTTTTGCTATAGGTAATCTCTTTGATTCAATTTTATCAAAGAGCGCTGCCAGGACGTTTAGTACGAGTACTACGAGTGCGCTATCGCCGCTGTGATTGGCCGGCTCAAATACACCAACCAATCAGAGCGCGCGGACACGGTCTCGTTTCGATTACTTTATTCGTAAAACACACTCGTACTAAGGCCTATGATCTCTATCTAACGTGTAAACCCTAGTTCATAGCCTTTTTTCAGTTTGAAGGTAATTGTTATTTTAGAATAGTGGCTGCATAATTAGGTATTATTTAAAATTTAATTTCGTACAAAATGTTATAATTTTGAGCATTTCAGAATGTGTCAGGGTCAACTGCATTGCATTGCATTGTTAAAAATATCCGTACACTGAAATTTTACTCACCAGGTGACGCTAGTGTGCGCATAGAGCTAAGCAGAGGTGTTTAGGTTAATAAAATGGACACTTCTTACGTCAGATATGAGTTTTTTACCATATATGACAACCTAATAATACTTTGCTCAACGTATCTTACCTGAGATGCCTTGCTCGACATTCATGCAGGCCATGGTTAATACTCAACAGCACAGACTTTATCTCTGTAGGAAATTTCATTAGGTCTTTGAAACCTGCTCCCTTTACTCAATTATAAAAATTTCAAAGAAGTATTATGTATTGTTAGAAGTATAGACAAAAAGAAACGAAACGTCATCGCGTAGCGGGAAAATATAATCTGTGGTTCGAAAAAATGAAAAAGTCAAGATGGCGGGAACTCTGAAGTTATTGAGACGGCGTACCTATTTGGTGTTGAGGGAATTTTATTCTATAAAGAAGTAAATTTGCCTCTTTATGTGTTGTTGTTGGTGTTGTTTTTCTTTCCATTTAATAGTTATGGTTTAGCTTGTCCTGATTTAGTAATTTGATTTCGATGTTAACAATATAAGGTGCATTGTAATGGTGATACTCTTTATTTTTCCTGCCTTCTGAGTTTCTAAAACTCTGCTAAAATCCTATGTGGTTTAAAACCAATAAGTTTCTTATATCAAAGAGTTAGGTGAACTCTATGACAGTTTTTAAGTTTTCTAATAGTATTGTATTTGTTTGTTACATTTAGTAGCCGTGTTAATTGCGTCAGATACCACATAAAGGTCGTATCCAAAGAGCATAAAGTAATAAATAATAATAGTAATTTTATTAATCTATTATATCTTTTGCTTACAAATTGCTTTCAATTAAGTAATTTGTTTCCGACTTCTGTTATTTCTTTGATAAACAAAAGAAAAACTTTATTAACATGATGAAATGAAATAAATAGCTCTTAATAATTATTCGCCTGTCAAGAATGGACAAAAAGATAAACCCTATTATGTAAATAATTCTTTAATTAATTACTTTAATAAAAAAATACTTTAAAAGCCCTCTTTTTGAATTCGGGTAATTAATCTCAGCAATTTTAGTGTAACAATGCAAACACTATGTATGTACTATGTATGTATAGTGCATACATAGTGTTTGCATGCACTATGTATACATAATATATGCAAACACTATGCATAAAAATATATCTTTTTTTTTTATTTATTATACTATTTTTTTTATTTGAAGTAGAAGATGATTGCAGTTGAATTGGAACCCATTGTTTTTAATACAAAGTTTTAATTTTTTAAAACAATGTTGCCTTACACTTGAATTTATTAGAATTGCATTCCAAACATACAAGTTCACAAACATATGACACCCAGACCAAACCTGAAACAATAATAATTTAAGCACATAAAGAGTCGAACCCATTATACGTTGCGCGGCAGCTGATTGTTCAGCCATCCCGCCAACGTGCAGTCACCGTTTTCGACGTCGTTAAACTATAAGTACGGTATGACCCTATACCCCAGTTTTGGGCTCGCTGCCATTGCAGCGGTAAGACCCCTCTTTGAGGAGTGGCTTGAGAGACGCTACGGCGTCCTCACCTACCGCCTGACGCAGGTCCTCACCGGACATGGAAGTTTCGGGAGGTACCTGTGTCTGATGGGGCGGGAGGAAACGCCCGGGTGTCATCACTGCGAGGACCGCCCTGAGGACACGGTGGAACACACCGTAGCGGAATGCCCTGCGTGGGCTGAGCACCGCCGTACCCTCAGGGAAGTGATCGGCGATGGCGACCTCTCGCGTCCGGGCCTAGTGCAGGCCATGATGCGGAGCGAGGGGGACTGGGATGCCGTCTCCTCCTTTTGCGAAGCAGTCATGCTAGCTAAGGAGGAGGCGGGACGCGTGAGGCAGCGAAGCGCTGCCTCCTCGCAACCCAGCCATCGCGAAGGACACACCGGGCGTCGGGGATCGCGGGACGATCTCCGGCCACCGTAAGCGCGGGCCTGCGGACGGCGAGCATGGGTGGCTCCCCGTCCGACCAGAAACAGACCCGAGCGTACGGCGCGTCGCGTTCCGCGCGCGCCTCAAAGAGCCATCAGACCACCACAGATGGGGCCCAATAGGGCCGATGCCGATTCGGAGTCGCGGAGAACCTAACGGGTAACCGGGGCTCCGGCTCGACGTGCAGGAGAAGGAACGGGGTGGTTTTTAGTCAGTAAGAGTCTGACACTCCCTTCCGCCTCACCCAGGCGGGAGCAGTCATTCGATGATTTTCTCCCCTTAAAAAAAAAAAAATACCCCAGTTTCCTATATTGGACCCTGAATCTGAGTCAGTATAATAAGAGATGAGGTAACAAATCAATAAACATAATAACGATGATTCAAGCTACAATTTACAACTGCACTTACGATCGTATTAAGTCGGTAATTTTGATATTTTTACGAAACGTATTTATGTAACGACAATTGAAGCTTGACCTACTAAAATAAAATACAATTTATGACTTTACCGATGTAATAAACGTTACTTGTAGGTACCTATTTTTTAAAGTATTGGTAAAAGTAACATTTCATTCCTTACTGTGGCTCTTTTTCTTTCCCATTTTAGGTACACACGGCCACACATCATTCTGTACAAAACCAGTTTATCCTGGTGTCGCGTCGCATCATCTTTCCTCACATTTAACGTTCAGTTTATACTGGTTATGTAAAGCTCGATGTGTAGCCGTGTGTACACGAGTTACTTATTTTATGTAGCCCATGTATTATTTAGTAAGTCTATTGTCATCTTTAATATATCTGTGATTGCCATAATCCTAATTTTAAATGTGAAAATTAGTATGTTTGTTCTCGTTTTGTGTATTTGTTACTTCTTCACGTGATATAGCTAAAGGGCTCGAGATGAAATTTGGAATAAGGGTAATTTATGGTCCGGTATAACACATAGGCAACGCGGGCGAAGCAGCTGTCAGAAACTAGTCGAAGATATAGGGCACCACTCCACACACTAGCTTATCTTTTGTCTTATACTATTATATAAAGCGGAAGAGTTTGTTTGTTTGAACGCGCTAATCTCCGTAACTACAAGTCTGATTTGAATAATTCTTTTTGTGTTGGATAGCGCATTTATCGAGGTTGGCTATAGGCTATAAAACATCATGCTACGACCAATAGGAGCTGAGCAGAGCGTGGGAAAGCGCGCGGAAGTAGCTAGTTACTAAATATTTACAAAGACCGAAAAGCTATGTTTTACCCGGAAATGAAATCCGGGACCCCTTGTTTGGCAGTCGCGTTTGCGATCACTCAACCATAGAGGCAGTCTTTAATTCATAAAAACATACCTAATTTCTAGCACCCCCTAATTTAGATAGGTATATTATTATGTACATAGGGCACAACAGATGTACCTATAAGAAATAACTGTGATAAAAATATAATTATCATCACTCCAGTACCTAACTAACGAAAACGAGAGGAGAGGTAATCTTTGGCATAAATAAACTTTCCTATTTATAATAGCTCAGTAGGTAGTAATAGGTATGGGTGCTCCGGAGCAGGTATATTAGAGGACCCGATGGCCTATAGTGATGATGATAGCCACCGTTTTAGTGAGATAGGAATCCAACACTCCCTAGTTTTTCCCCCAAAAAAGCCTTTAAGGGTTTCCCAATATAGTTTTATTTATGGAATAAGCCGATAAATGAGCAGACGGGTCACCTGATGGTAAGCAATCAGCGTCGCCCATGGACACCGGAACACCAGAGGTGTTAGAAGTGCGTTACCGGCCTTTTAGGGATTAGGAATTGGAGGGTTGTTGGGGATTCAGGGATTGGGGAGGGGGGGAGGATAATTGGGCCTCCGGTAACCTTACTTATACGACGAAACACAACGCAAGAGTTGTTTCACGTCGGTTTTCTGTGAGGCCGTGGTATCACTTCAGTCGAACCGGTCCATTCGTGTCGAAGCATGGCTCTCCCACACTTAAAACTAAATATATAGGTACTTTAATGTAAAAATAAGAGTTACCTACGTTTCCTTTGTATACCGACTACGGAACTAATTTGAACAAACACAAAATATTACTAGCGCACCATAAACAATGAATGCAATACATACCACTTAAAAAACAGAGAATCCACTTCATATTTCGACTGCACAATGCACTGCTGCACAACATGTTGCAGTATCGACTCCACTAATGCACTAAATTAATGCTTCAAGTACCGAAATATAAAAAAAAACATAAAAACAATCCCTTTCTAATGTTAACACTAGTTTTTTTTCTATACCGTGGATAAGTTTATAAATATAGATGTAATTTCACACGCCAAGACTCCAAAAAAACAATTTTAGGGGTAATATTCTTTTTCAAAAATGTTGTTATTAAATTGAGCACTGTTTTCCAAGTTGGTAGGCAATCTTCACGCTCGCTGTGGCGGGCGGGTGTAAGGTAACTGGACGAGGTCTCGGCCACTCAGATGTTCAACTTGAATCTGTATGTAATTATTTATGTCGTTCCACTTTGTCATTTCCGTTTGTATATTTATATATGCGTGTTTTGGTTGGGTTGGTCAGTGTTATTGAGAATTTTCGTATGATTTTCTAAATTATCAGTACCTCTAAAAAAAACGAAGGCTAAGTCTTGATATTATACCCGGTTTATGGATTAAGATCCACACAACATTATGCGTTTATCCCCGAAGAGGTAGGCAGAGGTGCACATTACAATGTAACACCCACTTTTTATTATTTATGTTATGAGGCCCATGTAATAAGGGGTGAGCCTATTACCATATACCGAGCACAATTCCAGACTCCGTGCTACTACTGAGATTTTTTTTAAATAAACCTAATAGTACTTGATTGACCTCGCCTTTCGACATAATACCTATGCGAAGGTACCTGCAAAGACAAACTTACTCAATTATTGGCGAATTATAGGTGTTTTATAGTCTTGATATTCGATTAACACTACGGCTTGATATTCGATTCTATAGCGTCAAAAAGGCTTTCTTTTGAAATTCTGAGTAGAACATAGTGCATGTGTCTACATGTTCCAATTGCTGTGCTGATGTAGACATTTTGTGGATCATACAAATATTTGCTCCGTGTGACGGCATCAAACCCGCCACATGTAACACAGCTGCCGGTGGACCAGCCGACCGTCCAGTCCATGCTAATGTTATTGTCAGGAAACATATAAATGTGAGATAATTATTACATCATTCGATACACTACAGTAAGTAAGTAGGTAATAAAATCTTTTAAGTAGTACATAATAAATAAAAAAACTAAAGTTATAAAGTATTCAATGTTGGTGAACACTAGTCGGTCTGTTTAACTTCTTAAATATTCAAATAGGAATAACAACAATCGCTTTGTAGCACTAAATAACTAGATAATATTAACCTGTAATTTCGTTCAAATTAAAAACCGTTAGCCACGGGGAGAAAGTAAAGGGGGATAAATATAATGACCACCATAAAATGCTTTGACACCCTTAGTTTTGTAACCAAAAATATCTACTTAACACCAGAAAACTAAAGTAAAAACATACAATAGTACCAGCCTATTTTAGTCACGACTCAACTTTAAATTGTATTCGACCACCAAGTAAATGATCACCAAATCTTGATAGGTTAGGTTAGGTTTTTTTTAAGGGGGAAATCATCGAATGACTGCTCCCGCCTGGGTGAGGTTAGGTTAGGTTTTTTTTTTTAAGGGGGGAAAATCATCGAATGACTGCTCCCGCCTGGGTGAGGCGGAAGGGCGTGTCAGACTCTTACTGACTAAACACCACCCTGTTCCTTCTCCTGCACGTCGAGCCAGAGCCCCGGTTACCCGTTAGGTTCTCCGCGACAGGTTAGGTTAGGTTTTAAAATTTATTTATTTTTATTTATTTATTTAATAGGTACACAGCTCAATACACAACAGAGTAACAATATAAAACTGTAAATGGCAGACCATGCTTCCACAAGTATGTGCACACAACATGATGAACATGAAATTCTAATCAATAGCTTCATAGACTGTGTCCAGTATATCTACAAGAACATGTAGTAATCTCTATTACAAAGGATGTATAATAAAACTGCCAAGAAATTTAAGTACTTTAATAACTCTGTCTGGCCCTTCAGAGAATAATAGGAATGATGTTACATCAAACAACTTTAAACAGAGCGAATAAATTTACACAACGTGTTTGTATTTACAAAACAATGTGAAGATTTGTATGAATGAACTCTGTTAACTAATATTGAATCATTGTATGTACATACACACATAACTATACCTTTATGTATACCTACATTTTTTATGGGATAAACCGGTAAACAAGCAGACGAATCACCTGATGGTAAGCAATCGGCGTCGCCCATGGACACCTGGAACAGCAGAGGCGTTACAAGTGCGTTACCGGCCTTTTGGGATTAGGAATTTGAGGATTGTTGTGGATTCAGGAATTGGGGAAAGGGGGGAGGGTAATTAGGCATCTGGTAACCTCACTCACACGACGAAACACGTTGTTTCACGTCGGTCTTCTGTGAGGTCGTGGTATCACTCCGATCGAGCCGGCCCATTCATGCCGAAGCATGGCTCTCCCACACTTAGATGGTTGTACATTGTGTAAAAAGCGAGTGAACGTGTGAGAATGCCATCGTCGAATATGTTGGGACGGTAGTTAAATAAATTTTAGTTATTGAACTATGATCAGGTCAGTCAGGTAAACTTTTCAAATAAGTCTTTAAATGTATGAGAGTCATTCTTCGGCACGAATAGGCCGGCTGGAGTGATACCACAGTCTCACAGAAAACCGACGTGAATTAACACTTGCGTTGTGTTTCGTGAGTGAGGTAACCGGAGGCCCAATTACTCCCCAGATGGGGACCATCTCCACAATTCCCGAATTCCCAATAATCCTCAAAAAGCCGGTTACGCACTTGTAACACCTCTGGTGTTCCAGGTGTCCATGGGCGGCGCCGATTGCTCACCATCACGTCATCAATCAGTCAATTCCATAAAAAAGTCCGTCAGCTTTATAATCCAACCCAACCTACATCAACTTACCTCTCAATGATCCTGCTGACCAACTGAGTATATGTTTGAACACCAGAGGGTGCTTTTTGTGATGCGGTCATTAAGCTTGTATAACTTGTGGCTCTGGAATCCTGGATTAAGTTTAAGACCTTTGCAGGGAATTGGTGGGTTAACCAGTCGAGCATCCGAGTTCCTTATGATCCAACGGGTGCACACGTGACATTTGGAGAAAAAAAGAAAGAAAATGCATTTAGTTGGCCATTGGCACACGAAAACAAGGATCATAACAATAGAATTAAAAAATACAGTCAAAATAAAAACAAAACATAAATAATAGATTTTATAAAAGACAAAGCAGCATGGAGCATTTTTTCTTATGATCCACCGGGTGCTCATAAGGACGCTCGAGGGGTTAAGGAGTAGCGTGACCTACGAGTGGTATTCGATAACTTACCTACCTGAACAAGTATTTTTGAACTGGAGTACTAGATGACATATTTATGACCAAGTGCAAAGCTAGGACAAGCAATGGAACCCAATTGAAAGCCCAACAGCTAACCAACTTCTTATATTAATGAAATAGTCAGTGTCATCATTACCTGTTTAGTCCCGATAACAAGCAACTGTCAATGCGCCAGCGCCGATATATTAGTAGATTGCGTCAATAGCTTATCGTTTTGGTGCAAGATTAACCAAATAAAAACGAGTTAAGATTGTGCAAACCAAATCCTTGATCCGTGTCTATGGACGTCAAATCATAATTGTATAGATTATGAAACTATAAACATATTAAGCAGGCTGTCCGACAACAATACAACATGTAGGGAAAGTACCTTAAATCCTGCAAATAAACCATTGCACTGAAATAAGACTTCATTTTATTTTCAAAAAGATATTTATTTACTTAAACTCCATGTAGGTACGTTGCCCCACACTAGGATTTTCTGCTGTTTCGTGGGTGCGTTTACAAACATACAAGTTCACATACACATGACACCCAGACCTGAAACAACAATTTGTGGATCACACAAAGATTTGCTGCGTGCGGTAATCGAACCCGCTACACGCTACACATGACAATGTGTGTGCAAACTTATATGCTTATAAATGCACCACAGTACAGGAGAAAGTCCTAGCATGGGGCAACGTTAAAAAAAGAAACAATTCAAAAGGGCCCCCCGAATAGTGTGCCAAAGGCCCCACCGTATATAGTCTAAGACGGCCCTGTTTAGGCCAGGTACAAGACATCTTACTTAACTGAAAAGAAACTATCGTGTAGCTTTATTATAAGTAGAACCTATGATCCATGAATGGGTTTATTGTAAGCATTATTTGTCCAACGAACACCAGCATCAGATAAACACCCCGAGAACGGCTGATCATTGCCAAGATTTGTTTTTTAAACACTCCATTCTTTACTGAAAAACGCGAATTGATCTTGACAAATGAAGTCACGGAGGCACATCTCATCAGAGTTCATGAGTATCTATTTATACAGGCGTATACATAAGCACGGGCTTGCGGACGTCATTCGATGATATTTACCCCTAAAAAAAACAGGCGTATACATAAATAATTCTGCGAATCTAGGTACTATGTAGATAATGTACTTATTTAATCCTTAATAAAGCACTGACATTATGCACTTCCCTTGATGGTGCCGCGTCCATCGTATCGCTTCATCAGTATCCGTTCACAGGCTTTGTGATCATGTTGTAGCAGCTCGCATGTCCATATGAATCGATACTTGCATATTAATTCTAGTCTGGTCTACAATCTGACTTGAATGATGTATTTAGTGGTAAATGTCTCAAGCCCTAGCTTTTACTAAACTTTATAGGTAAAGTTATTTTAAGTGTGGGAGAACCAAGCTTCGGCACGAATGGGCCGGCTCAACCGGAGTGATACCACAGCCTCACAGAAAACCGACGTGAAGCAACGCTTGCGTTGATTCGTCGTGTGAGTGAGGTTATCGGAGGCCCAATTACCCTCCCCTTCCCCAATTCCTAAATCCCCAACGATCCACAAACTCCTAATCCCCAAAAGGCCGGTAACTCACTTGTAACGCCTCTGGTGTTCCAGGTGTCCATGGGCGACGCCGATTGCTTACCATCAGGTGAGCCATCTGCTCGTTTACCGGCT